GGCGAGTGGCTATGTGCACTCAAGTGTACATAGGCGAGTGGCTATGTACACTCAGACAGTCATAAAAAATATTCAACAAAAATTAAGTTAGATTAGCCTTATATGTACTTGATTTTTAACATATATGAAATACCTTAACTTAATAGTAATTTAACATTATTAATTTTTTACTATATTCAAAAAAATGTATAAATCAAATATTACAATTATATAAATATAAAAAAGTTTTAATTTAGGTAAATATCAACCGATTTAAGGGTGTGCGTTTAGTATCGATGACATGCTACTCTTGTTCCTTACTCACACCCGCATCTACACCCACCCTGCACTTATTTTCACTTATACCTTATTTTTTTTGCTAATTTCTTGGTACAAAGGGTAGTTTGGCATGGGGAATCTAAATCTGAAGTGAGTTTTAATTAATTAATTAATTATTAAGTAGGCACTAATTAAACGTTAATTAGTGAAGCCGATTTTTATAATATTGAAAAAGATGTATTCGAAGATGGAGAATCCGAATCTGATGTCAGATTTAATTAATTATTAATTAATTATTATTATCAACCAGTTAACCAACTAATTATTAATTAATTAGAAAAAGGAAACAGACAGTCCGATGAAACATCATTAGAATAAAAAACACAAAAACAAAAGAAAATTTTTTTTTTGTTACATGTTGGTAAACCCTCTGGTTTTTCAGAGACCTATCGACCTTGGATGGTTCTAATTTTGCTCGTAGAAATGTACTACATCATAATATAACTTTACAGAAAAAAAAAAATTTTTTTTTCATAGGTCTCCAAAAACTCTGTTTTTTCAGAGACTTCCAGACTTTGGGGGGGTTCTGATTTTTATGGCATACCTAGCGAGGACCTTGGTAAACCCTCATAATAAATAAAAAAAAAATTTTGGCTTGGGAAAGGGAGGGGGTTCTCCTTAAGGTATTTCATATATGTTAAAAATCAAGTACATATAAGACTGATCTAACTTAATTTTTGTTGAATATTTTTTATGACTGTCTGAGTGTACATAGCTACCTGACTATGTACACCCGAGTGCACATAGCCACTTGACTATGTACACTTGAGTGCACATAGCCACTTGACTATGTACACTTGAGTGCACATAGCCATTTGACTATGTACACTCGAGTGCACATAGCCACTTCCAAAATAATTATGATAAAACTTGATAAAAAACAAATTTGGTAGATACAATACAAATTTGATTTTTTCACTGTGGCAATCGTGTACAGAGATATTATGATGAATGTTCATTCATTTGTTTCAAGTCACGTAAGTGTATAATTTTTCTAAACTATTAGAGAATACAGTGTAATTGTATTCAGTGACAGAACTACAGATTTCTTAGACCGAAATGAGTAACGCCACAAGCATGTAACTCTTCTTTCATAATAAAAAGTGTTAAATATAAAAAGCAGTTTGTACTTCAAACGGATGAAGTATATATTTTAGTTCAAACAACGATAGTCCGAAAATGGAATATTCATATTGTATGATATTTCGGCAAAGCGACCGGAGAAAGAAAAATTAACAAATAAAGACGAACTCTAATGGAAGAAAAAAGTAACTTGTAGATTGTACAAGTTCGTAACAGAATATTTTAAAAGAAAAAAAATCATATCTTATACATTGTAACTTATAAAAAAATCAGTAAAATGTAAAAACGACATACAGCAATAAATGAATCATAGTTACTCCTACGCTGTGTAGGGAAAAAAGTCATATATGTAGAAGAAAAATTCTAACATTTCATCAATATTTTTTTTAATATTTATTTTATTGCTTCATAAAACGTTGATAGCTGAGAAGAACTTTAGCTGATACACAAATAGAATAAAATTCCAAAAAGTAAAGAGAAAAAGGTAACAAGAATTTAATAAACTATCGTGTTCTTGCCATTTCATTATCAATCACTCAGAATTTGCGCATCTAAACGTTACATTCTATATCGATAGAAAATCATTTAATTAATATGGCATACAGACGAATATGTATATCATAAAGATGTTTGTATTTAGGAAGTACATGGATTCAACAGCTGAATCTATTTTCAAAATACAACAATGATGCTTGTATCTTCAATGCAGAACAAGAGAAGTATAGGTTTGTTGTATCTTATATTCAGATTCATTTAGTTAATGTTAGTTTTAGTTTTGGTATACCACTAGCAATATTCATTGCTACAGTAATAACAAATCGTACGGATAAAAAATATTCGCTCTACTGTATTTTAGGAAAAGATAATACAAGAAATTAATAGATATTCGTTATGCGTACAATAACTTTTATAAACATCTGTTCATTTATCAGTAATTAAGGTAGATAGACAACGAAAATATATTATTTTCTCTCTTGATTGAAGTTTATGGTGTTTTTCATCATAGAGAAACAATAAAATTGCTTGAAAACTACAGTCCTACACTTTTTCAACTCTATGCTCCTCACAAATGAACATTCTTTGAGTATTACTAAGTAGAGTTATAATTTTAATTCATTCCTTTCCGTTCGATTGTTGAAATAAAAAATGTAATTCAGACAGCGACGAGTAAACATGGGATTTTGTGCTTTAGTAGTCTCACTGATTCTGAATTTTATGAGTAAAAGAAATCTTACCATTCATTGCGTTTCCAGTGTGTGTAATCGGTGGATTCGAATCGAGTAATGCCAATGATGCTAAAAAGAGACAATTATCTGTTTTATCAATTATGAATTTGTTTTAATTTCATGAAAATAACTGTGATTGAACTATAGTTCCCTCTGTAGCAATGGCGAGATTATTACATTTATGTAAGTTTCTTGCAAATATTTTTCATGTTATATTATATTCTTTAATCAAACCGAAAGATAAATTTCTAAGTTCTCTTTGTTTTTTTTGTCATCCTGTCTTTAGTTTTCGTCTTTAATTACAATAATAATATAGAACGAAAAAATTGCTCTTACTTGATCAAAATCGACACCCAGACTAAAGTCATGATACAATTAATGAAAAAGACCATATTGAGGGTGGATGTGGGTGTGACTATAGATAACTACTGCACATCCGCCCACACCCACATCCACACTCACGTGATTTAGGATGATTTATTTTTGATTTTTCGATGGTTTAAATCAGTCTTTTCTCCATTGCTTCGAACATACATCTAAATTTTACATCTGAATCATCGTCAACAATCTTTATTTGAATAGATTATGATTACTTTTAAGTCGTAAGAATTCTATACTAAACTGACTGATATATTATCGCTGAGAGTCAATACCGCTCGTTTTATCGTTCGTCATAAAATACCTTTTAAATGTTGTAAATATATTTTAGGGAATAGGAAGAGTGACAAACAGTTTTTTTTCAAAACTCAAGGTTTTCTGTATTTCTACAAATTCAAAATTGATACATATTTTGTATCTAACTATTATTTTTATATCGCTGTATTATATTTGTCTTTCAAAGACACATGTTAAAACAGTATTTATTAACTATCAACACTTCATATGTTTTTAGATTTTAATATCGAAAAATAAAACAATTTATTAACGCCTTTATTCATTAAATTATGAATATGTATTTTTTTTAGATCATAAACAAGTCCTAACAACACAATACTTTTACAAATCAATGAAACTTACAATGATACCTCATCAACAACAAAAAGTATGTTGAATCTGAACATCAAAAATTTTCAAAAGTTCATGTAAAAATTTGTGTAAGCTTAACGATTTGAGGAAGAAGATGTTATATTTTTAATCTTTAAAACGCATTAAACTTCTGTATTTTATCTTGTTAAAATGATACTAATGTGAAAGAACTCCTAGAATTTCATTAAAATACATAGTTTTTACTCCCTTGTAAGAATCAAAATAGTAATATTTTTTTTTATTAAATCTTTAAGCTTATATGAATTTTTACGTGAAAGACTCTGAGGCGTCCTTGATGATTAGTAAACAGCTAGAAGCATATCTTGTAAAATATACTTTTTCTATTATATTTCGTAAGAGAGCGGTAATATCGACAAAGTAAAAGAAAAAACTAACATAAACTACAGCAGAATTAAATGATTTATTCTGTTGACAATTCATAAAGGCTTGTTCTAAGTCTTTTTTCATGTACATATCATAGGTAAAGAACACTTTTAAGTATTATAGATAAGAGAGTACTGTAGAATTCAAGAATTTTTTGGATTTACGAGAATAATCAGAAATACAAAAATCAAAAGTTGAATTTAATGCTTAGCTCTTTATTATCATATAAATACAGCTATGAGAATTACATTCATATTCTACAAAAAAAAATTCTACTTTCTGATGTATATAAATATTATATCTGAGTCATAAAAATGATAATAAGGAAAGAACATAAAAATTTCAAATCGAAGACAAGTGTAAATGTGGATAAAAATCATAAAAATAAATAATTATTCAGACCTATTCTCACTGATATATTAAATATAGGAGACCTTAAGAGACCTTATAAACAATTATTATCTACAATACACGGTAACTTTAAAGTATTTTTTAACTCAAGATCTTCATAACCTAAATATTTAGTCGTTAGCTATGAGTGTAACAAGAAGAGATGAAAATAA